GAGTAGCCCAACACTGTTTAATATTTTGATGTACAAATTAATAATTTATGTTCCCATGCTGACGAATACTCTCTGCTCGAGTCTCTAGCTGTTAAAAGTTCTAAATGCGGTTTTATAATATCTATAACGAAATCCAGCGCTTTTTATCCTCAAGAACAAATGTCCCCTCCAGCTTTCAAGGACAGCAACCAAACCTTTAAAACAGGAGACTGACTCAAACTCCTTGGAGGAGGTATTAACACTGACATTGTACACGACCTACATCGTAAGTTAATGAAAAGATTTAAACCAGTAAAATCACTGATAAGAATAAGAATATACTGATAAGACTAAGAATAAGATACGAACATTCTTATTCGTATCTTATTCTTAGTCTATCAATGTAAAATATTCCAGATAATTTTGTGTAATGTGTGTTAGATCCCATGTTGATTATCATACCTTGAACCTAATTAACTACACCAAATTCCTTTTATCTGGAAGTAAAACAGACTGAGGACGGAGGAGTGGTTCTTGGCGTCCCAAGACGAACACGAAGGACTGTCTGAAGCCTCTCATACCACTAGAGAAAATCATGCAAATCAACATGACCTTTACGCTGAAGTCAGGAGACCCAGAGTCTCTCCAGTATTGCTTCGAGATAAACTGCCCTGGAAACACAAACCGAAACTGTCTTTATTTTCCGCTTGTTACAACTTGTAATAAAGTTGTTACATCTTGGCTTAACGTGTTTATGACGTATTAGAACGTTGTTAGAACTTGATATATTGGTTGTTATAACTGGTTAGGAGGTGTTAAAACTTGTTCGAACGTTGTACCAACGACGTAGTTTCGGTGTGTGTTTGGCGGGTGTGTTGTTTCTCACCTACACCAGCTACTAGTGCTGATCCTCGTTTGTAAACCAACTACGTGTGTAGTGGTCTTATAGTGGTGAATGTAGTATATAGCAATATAGTAGTGATATTGTAGAAAGAAGAGAGGGAGGGAGAGAGAGAGAAGAAAAGAGGCAGAAAAACATACATACAGGCAGAATGAAAGGGTGAAAGATGCTGAAATGGGTGGATGTAAAGAGAGAGAGAGAGAGAGAGAGAGAGAGAGAGAGAGAGAGAGAGAGAGAGAGAAAGTATAAATATATAAAATAGAATATGTGTGACTATGTCTATCTGGAGGGAGGTTGGAGGCAAGATGCTTGGGGCTATCCATACCAAATTTTTAATTGTAATTATTGACGGGTATGTGCCTAACATGGGTTAGTCGAAGATGGCATCAATAAAGTAGGTGCCCTTTGATACGGCTCCACAGGGAAAACTTCAAAGCATCTTGCAATATGGTGAAACATTTTTCACAGATGTTTGCAAAATTTTCTAAAAACAATTCAAACTATCATACTTCTCTTCTAATAGTCTGTAATATGTGCAGGCGATGAGTCACAATAACGTGGCTAAATTATGTTGACCAGACCACACACTAGAAGGTGAAGGGACGACGACGTTTCGGTCCGTCCTGGACCATTCTCAAGTCGATTCTGGACCATCCTGAACCATCGACTTGAGAATGGTCCAGGACGGACCGAAACGTCGTCGTCCCTTCACCTTCTAGTGTGTGGTCTGGTCAACAGTCTGTAATATGTGTTCATGATGCCATCAATTTGGAGTCCCACAACATTCTCCCTACCATCCAACCATCCATCCATACCCACCTCCCACCGAGTCAACTGCTCACTCATGCATGTGTCAGATACATGGCGGCCTGCAAAGAGACAGACAGAGAATGCAGATGTACCATGTTAGTGAGACAGAGACAATATACGCGTGAGAGAGAAAGTATCCTTTCCAGTACTAGCTCTCACACATTGTGGACGTGTCCAGGCTGGTAGAGAAGTTTTTTTTTTCTACCACAAACGTGGCCACATATTTACAATTGGGCGACGGTCTGCTGCCTCTGAGCCGTCAGTAGTGTTGAAGGGTGTGGAGGAATACGAACATTTACACCCTTAACACTAGTGTTACACCAGATGAGTGTAAATAGTGTTACACCACATGGGGCTCCTAGATTCCAACATTTTCACTCCTGTGAAACGGTAGATTTTAATATTATTTATTATTTTAATATTTTATAACGATATATTCTGATGAAGATGATAATTACGATAGGAAGGGAGAAAGAGAAGATAGGCAGGGAGAGGTTGTGAACTGGGAATGGATAGGGGGCGTGGGTTGCTTCCTGGGAGTGGATAGGGGGCATGGTTAGAGCCCTGAGTGTGGAGAGAGAGCCCGGGATGTGTTCTGGGTGAGGAGAGAGCGCCTTGGTTGAGAGCTGGGAGTGGAGAGAGAGAGAGCCTGGATTGAGAGCTGGGAGTGGAGAGAGAGCCTGGATTGAGAGCTGGGAGTGGAGAGACAGAGAGCCTGGATTGAGAGCTGGGAGTGGAGAGAGAGCCTGGGTTGAGAGCTGGGAGTGGAGAGAGAGCCTAGGTTGAGAGCTGGGAGTGGAGAGAGAGCCTAGGTTGAGAGCTGGGAGTGGAGAGAGAGCCTGGATTGAGAGCTGGGAGTGGAGATAGAGCCTGAATTGAGAGCTGGGAGTGGAGAGAGAGCCTGGGTTGAGAGCTGGGAGTGGAGAGAGCGCCTGGGTTGAGAGCTGGGAGTGGAGAGAGAGAGCGTAGAGATGGGCCCTAGATTGCTCACAGCTCTGGGCTGGTTATGAAAGCGGTTATGTTGACAAAGAGACACATTTTGGATTGTTTACACGCGCGGTAAAACATTATGAAGGGTCTTCGCCTGATGAAATACGTGCACACGTGTGCTGGAAGGCCAAACCCCCTTTCTCCACGTACATATATATGCACGTATCAAAAACACACATTCTCAACACATATGCACATGAACACATATTAGAACCCCTTCCCCACACTTACTCTGTACGTACGCATATGCGCGCAAAAGAACGCACAGAGTCTCTTGACGTACACATATGGACGTATATATAACACCACACTGTATTCCCCCCCACTTTAGGTCACACCATGTCGACCCTTAAACCCCCTTAAGAACTCGAGGGGACTTAAACTTAAGACCTCACCCCTTAAGAGCAAATCAGGAAAGAATATCCCTACACTGTATGTCACTTGATAACATCCTTTGTCACTTCAGTGAGAAGCACTGACAAACAAAACAAACAACGTGAGACTGTGACACGACAACGAGACCCTCCTGGGGGTTAAACCCGAAGAAAATCCCAAGAAAATCCCATGAAAATCCCAAGATTGTCATAAAACACCAAGTTCTTTCATCTTCTCTCCCTAGACGACGAGAATGATCCAGTTCGATAATATATTGAATGACCCACTTGGCTGGGATGGCAGTAGTTGTGGTTCTGGTTGTCGAGGTGATGGTGGTGATGACACTGCTGATGGTGGTGGTTGTGGTGGTGTCTGTAGTGGTGGTGGTGGTGGTGTTGGTGGTTATAGGGGTGGTCGTAATGGCTGTAGCGGTGGTAATAATGAAGGGAGTGATAGTGATGATGATGGAGGTGATGGTGGCAGTGAAGCTGCTGATGGTGGTGGTGATTGTGGTTATTGTTGTGGTGATTGAAGTGATTATCATCCCTTGGAAGTGATAAAAATCAACAGCCTTCCTGTACATGAATCTTTTCCGTTATAATTTTCCTATACTCTCGGTCAAATTAATTTTTTAATACGACCTTAATATTATGGTGAGAGGTGGCTTCCACAACTTCCTTTTTTCCAGCACATACCACTTGTTGACCATACAAGGTATCATACAAGGTATCATACAAGGTATCATACAAGGTATCATACAAGGTATCATACAAGATATCATACAAGGGGACACAGGTGGAAACTGAGTACCCAAATGGTGCCACAGGCACGATAGAAAGAACTTTTTCAGTGTCAGAGTAGTTAACGGATGGAATGCATTAGGAAGTGATGTGGTGGAGGCTGACTCCATACACAGTTTCAAATGTAGATATGACAGAGTCCAGTAGGCTCAGGAATCTGTACACCAGTTGATTGACGGTTGAGAGGCGGGACCAAAGAGCCAAAGCCTAACCCCCGCAAGCACAAATAGGTGAGTACAAATAGGTGAGTACACGCACACACACACACACACACACACACACACACACATACACACACACACGCACACACACACACACACACACACACACACACACACACACACACACACACACACACACACACACACACACACACACACACACACACACACACACACACACACACACACACACACAATCACAATGAGAAGGAATCTGTACACCAGTTGATTGACAGTTGAGAGGCGGGACCAAAGAGCCAAAGCTCAACCCCCGCAAGCACAAATAGGTGAGTACAAATAGGTGAGTACACACACACACACACACACACACACACACACACACACACACACACACACACACACACACACACACACACACACACACACACACACACACACACACACACGGGGAAGGGGAGAGGGGGGTAGATACAGCACACAGCTCCAGCATAAATAATGAAGACAGTTTACATTTAGATGCGCGGGTCACCAGGTGTGAAATTGCATTTGAAAAGAGTCATTAGAACTTTCTGTTCCCTCGAGAGTTCCTCCTCAGCCGAGAGCTCGACATAAAATCACATATAAATAATTTTCCTCTCAGATTATGCCAATACATTGTTGCAGAATCTTGCTTGCCAATTGCTAAAGTTTTTTACGCATTTAATTTTGAGCAGATTGGACATAATTTGCAATGGGAACTTCTGTAACCTTTTCGGTCAATAACGCCGTCGGTGAGGACGTGTGTTGATGTCACGTTACAGATTGCAACTTGTTGGCTGATTTCTGATGTTGACAGATGAATAGCTTCGTCGTTCCCAGGTGTGTAAGATACTGGTAGACTCATTGCTGTGGGTGGGGCTACTTATTGCTAAACTCACCGGTTATGCTGAGCTGATTACTGGTTGGCCCATCGTTAAGGCTGTGTTAGTTCCTGGTACACTCTTCACCGTGGGTTGAATAAGTAATAGTATACTCATCACTGTGGGCTGGGTCAGCAAAAGTAAACTCATCACTGTGAGCTGGGTCAGCAACAGTAAACTCATCACTGTGAGCTGGGTCAGCAACAGTAAACTCATCACTGTGGACTGGGTCAGCAAAAGTAAACTCATCACTGTTGGCGGGGTCAGCAACAGTAAACTCATCACTGTTGGCGGGGTCAGCAACAGTAAACTCATCACTGTTGGCTGGGTCAGCAACAGTAAACTCATCACTGTTTGCTGGGTCAGCAACAGTAAACTCATCACTGTGGACTGGGTCAGCAACAGTAAACTCATCACTGTTGGCGGGGTCAGCAACAGTAAACTCATCACTGTTGGCGGGGTCAGCAACAGTAAACTCATCACTGTGGGCGGGATCAACAACAGTAAACTCATCACTGTTGGCGGGGTCAGCAACAGTAAAAATATTACTGTAATCTAGGCCAGTTGCTGGCAAACTCATCACTGTGGGTTAGGACAGTTGATAGTGAACTCATCACTATGTCAAACAAGTTTGGGCTGAATCCGTAGCTAAAGTCCTCAGTCAAGATCTGATAGTCATCCCACCTGAGCTTCAATCAGACTCCATCCAAGTAGAATGGAATCAGATCATCATGGTTTATTGTTATACACTGTCGAGAACAGGTCTCAGAACTCACCAAGTAAATCATTTATAAGCATACACTTAAGAAACCCATCCATCGTTCAACAATCATGTTGAACGACATGATTGAACGACAATACATTTATTTAGCAGTTTAGGAGCTTGGAAACTTCACAACCCAAGGTAGTAATTGTTATAAGCAGCCAGGTAGAGTGCTTCGACGCTCACGAACGGCTGAATAAATATAAATAAAGCCCCCCCCCCTCCCATCCCCCAACACAGGATTAAGGAAAGATGTACAGGTTTCGTAAGAGGGCCCAACCAGTCCTCTCCATTTACGCTTCTCATTTTACACGTTATGGTCCCCAACGTACAAATTAGAACAGACTATGAAAAATAGCAGGTTATAAATATTCACGTTTCTCAGAGTTGGTAGGTTAGGGTTAAGTGAGTGGTTCGGGTTCGTGTGTTTTAATAGCCCATATTTTATACGTTGCGGCAGATCAAGGGAATTGGGCTCGTTAACTATAGTGATACAGTAAAAGTCAGCCAATTAACACTATAGTTGAGTTAGGTCCAGTAAAATACTGTCATATTGTTGAATTAGGTCCAGCAACATACTACACTATAGTTAGCTTTGACTTTCAACGCATTCATCAATACATTAGGTGGATAGATTTAATGAGTATTTACTCAAGTGGACAGATGAAAATGTTTCAGCTTACTGTGGTAAGAAATGTGTACGTTTGGGAAGGTCGAGCGTCAATTAATGCAACTTTACAATTCACAAATAAGACGAATTGTAGAGAACATGATCGATATTCCTTTGGTATTCGTGTCCACGGACTTACGTCAAGCTTTTAGACAAAGTCCAAGCCACGGTCAGGCATCTAGAGAGAAGTATGCTTAATCAGGTCAGGCATCTAGAGAGAAGTATGCTTAATCAGGTCAGGCATCTAGAGAGAAGTATGCTTAATCAGGTCAGGCATCTAGAGAGAAGTATGCTTAATCAACTCGGCTCAGTGAGTTACCCCAAAGCTCTACAGCACAGAATATATGTTTTTGATATTTGTGTATGTGGCAAAATCTTAAAATGCCATCCCACTCATGTGAGCACTAGATAGATTTTTTGTGCATTGATGGAAGGCTGTAGCATCAATATTGACCTGTGTTCGAGGTTGGCTGAGGCATTAATACTCACCAGTGTTTCAGATAGATTGAGGCATCAATACTCAACTGTGTTTGAGGCAAGCTAAGCCTTCAATAATCATCAGAGTATCATTTAGTTTGACATCAGTGCTCACCAGTATTGCAAGTAGATTGAGGCATTAATACTCACCAGTTTTGGAGGTAGGCTGACATCAATACTCACCTGTGTTACATGTAGACTGAGGCATCACTACTCACATGTTGTAGAAAAATTGAGGCCTCAATACTCACCAGTGTTGAAGTTGTACAGAGGCATCAATACTCACTAATGAAGCATTTAGGTTCAAGCACCAATACTCATCAGAGTTGCAGGCAGATTGAGGCAGTAATCCCCAGTGATGCAGGTAGGGTGGAAAAGAGGAATTCAAACCCTGAACCTGTACCCAAACACGAGATAGAGGCGAGCACACGGGGCGAGTGCAGCTTCCTGGCGAGGCCAGCAACTACATCAGTCTAGAAATGTGTAAAGACAAAGATCGCCATCACATTAGTATTCCAAGGAGGCTACAGGACCTGGGGGAGGTGTGCTGGTATGGCCCGCCTGGGAGACTGTCTAGCGCCGACTAACAAGAGGGTCACATTTAGCGAGGTTTAGAGGCCGCTCTTGTGCGGAGAGCCATTAAGGCACCACGAGTGCCCTCTCAAGGCTATTTGACTCTGGTTCGAGGTTTATAAAGTGCTTCTACAACGGGAAGCCTTCGGGGAGGGTGTTGTCTGTGTGCGGGTAAACACTATGGGGGGTATATATGTACCGGAGAATATATGTCACACACATACACCCTCTTAGGTGTCGCGCCACACATACTCTCCCCATATCCCCACCTCATCACAGTAAACATGTTCACTACACGCTATCTACATCGCTGTAATTAAAAAGGTTGCGCCAGAAAGCAAATCTGTCATCTGAGTTATCGTTTTGCATGTCAGTATATGAACACATTAATGTTTAAACGAATGCTTAAACTCTATGGACTTTGAGTGTCATATTTCATTTTCACGTACTTTGTGAATATATGAACCGATCTTCCCTCAAGAAGGGGACGTCAAATGTGTATTTGTCAGTCTATCCGAAGTCACGTGAGCTGACTTCATATAGACTTGACTGATAAATAGACTCTCGCCGTGGGAGAAGCCTGGGCACACGGTCGACCCGGGCAGTGCCGGGGACCCAATCTAGTAAATCCGTAAAGGAATATGCCTATTTGTCTCTCTGTCTGAGGCTGGAGGCCAGATATTTAGGGTCTTAACCCAATTTTTCCCATTAATTACTGCTGGGTACGTGCTTAACATGAGCGTGTCGGGATTGATACTAATGGAAAAGAGTGCGACGAGACACTGTGATACAATGACCCCCACGACAAAAAAAAATATATTTCGGAGCACTGTTAAAAAAATGTGAAGAATAGGCGTGATAATTTATTTGAAGTTTCTCTGTCATGAATATCATTACTCTAGTATAATTTCATGCCTGGTTAAAATAGGACTCCAAAATTGACATGAGGGAACTCAAATTTCTAATCTGAATGCACATGTTATCTAATGCATCATTAAGAAAGTCAGGACCGCAATCGTGACAGTAATCACCAAAGTTATCATGAACATGGAAGATAACGTTTGTTTTTCTAACAGTTAATTAATGATTTATATTTATACGGGAAGTGTTACATACAGTTACTCGCAACTCAACTTTTTTGGAAAAGTCCGAACACATACTAAGCTCACGTGGCTTTTGGATATATAGGTGTAGTTACTGAGTCTATGTTGCTCTTGGATATGTTCGAACAGTTACTTAATTCATGAGACTTCTAGACATGTTTGAACAGTAACTGAGTCCATATGTTGCTTCTGGACATGTTCGAACAGTCGCTGAGTCCATGTTGATCTTGGATATGTTCGAACAGTTACTAAGTCCATGTTGTTTTTTGACATGTTCGAAAGGGAAGGGAACTGTCAGGGTGTAAAACGCCAAGCCATTACGACTATATAGCTTGACATGCTCGAACAATTACTGAGTCCATGTTAATTTTGGATATATCCGAACAGTTACTGTCGATGATACTTCTGGACATGTTCGAACAGTTACTAAGTCCATGTAGTTTTAGGTTAACGATAATAGTCAACAACCCAGAGTTAAAGTGATAAATAGTTAACTAAAAATATATATATGGAAGGCTCAAAGGATCAGAATTAATTCATGAACCGGCCTCAACTAAGCTCCGTCATGTCCAGCGACCCATAATATAAATATAAATATATATATAAATATATATATTTATATATATATTTATATATAATATATATATATATATATATAAGTCTATATATAGACTTATATATATATATATATATATATATATATATATATATATATATATATATATATATATATACATATATATATATATATATAAGTCAAAACAGCTGCCGCAATTCTTCTTGTATCGTGTGAGTGCCTTAACAACCCTGTGTCGACATGACAGCAGCCCCTGTAAAACATATACATATATATACGTTTATACATGCATACATTCATATGTCGTTATAAAGGCTTTGAAACCTCGAGGATCCGAATCTGGGCGGGCAGGGGTCACCCCCACTTTGGGTGCAGTTTTTCATAGAATCCTGAACATGCTGGGATCGCACAAAACACTTTAGTCATAAAAGCAGCCCTTGAAAAACTGTACATATATGACAGAAGGTCCTGCAAAACTCTATATGACTGCAGTAGCCTGTGAAACACAGTATATATATATATATATATATATATATATATATATATATATATATATATATATATATATATATATATATATATATATATATATATATATATGTTGCAGAGTGTAGATTACCAACAATAATATATAATATATACATCTGCCCACACGAACAATCCATAAAACATTAAACACTATATCCCTCTTTCTGAGCATCCTAAATAAAGAGTATTCACTCTCATAAATATTAAGTCTTATTAAATTCATATAATCCCATGTGAGTCGGGATTTCTGCTCCACCATAACTTTTTTCTGGTGCAAACACAGTAAATCCTCTTTACTGGGAAAAGGTGTAAACAAGCGGGTCATGGGTGAGGTGTGAGAGTAAGCCTCACAGCAAACACCTCTGCTGCCTACCTCTCTCAAATTATCGCGGCTTATTTTTGTGTTTAAGGTGTAGGGCCAGGCGGGGCGGCGCTGGTGAGGGGCGAGGGATCTTTCTTAGATATGTCAGGGTGATCTGACATATCTAAGGAAGTTGTATGTCGTTACTGTTGTTATTAAGAGGAGGAGGTTGTAGGAACTTTCCTGCTTGTCGGGTCGTGGGATTTGTTGGTCTAGTTAAGGCAATCTATTTCGAGATCGACGTCTCTGGGCAGCATCCAAACGACCGAGGCGACGAAACTATATATATATTCGATATATGAAACTCATATTCGCCCCCAGCGGGGAAGAGCTTTTCTATTTATATATAATATAAACATTTAGAAGAACGATATCGAAGATGAATGAAAATACTTCATTTTGTAGTTTCTTGTTGATATAAAAACCTTGTTACAATGTACCCTGTCATCTTACCTGATATGTTAGATTAAGCACCTGCCCGAAACGCTGTGCGCGTTAGTGGCTTTGCATGAATGTATAAATACATTT